AAGAGAACAAACAGAGCATAAAAAAAATAAGTATGGAAATGTTTAAATCCGTTTATGAATAAATATCACGTTTCATCGTCCGTTCATTAAAACAGTGGTCCGCAACCTTTTTTTTTGTTAAGGTCAGCCGGTACTGGCCGTTTCTGTGTTGGAGTGTCAAATTTCAAAATAAAACATCTTTTAGAATTCATTATGTTAGTATCGGAGTCTGACATTTTATTTTGAAAGTATTGCCAGATTATCTTTGAATGTGAAAAGTAAATGTATATAACCGGGTTAGTACATTTTTTATTGTGGCCCACTGCGGCCCGGTAACAACTGACCTACGGACCAGTACCGGTCCACGGACCTGGGGTTGGAAACCTGTTCATCTTAATTGTGTGGCTGTAGATAGGACCACATGTGTGAAGTGTTAAATTCAGGAAAGCAATTCCACCTTAATTCCTCATTGGCTGTGCGCATCAATGACCCAGGTTCCACACACACACTCAGACACACAGACACACACACACATGTCCACATCCATAGGTTTGTGATCATTACAAAGCAATTCCTTCAGACAGAAATCCCTTAAACAGCCTCGGTTTTGGGCTTCACGCTATCCCCCTCCTGTCTCCTCTCTCCTCAACAGCCACCAACCACCGCTGCTGCCAAAAATAACACAGGAGCGCCACTCGAGCCCGCTGCTCACCGCAGCGCAGCTCGGCCGCAAGAGAGGGATCAAAACACACACAAAAAAGGAAACACATCATATTGTGGACGGAGGGAGAAAGAGCATTCATACAGCTCCATGCTTGAAGATATCCACTGATGATTTTGGCAAGCGCAGAACCACACATACTAATGCGCCAGGCCAAGACAGGGGAAAGGAAAGTGTGTTTGTGGATGTATGCATACATTCTGGATGAGGTATAGTGTCACAGTAAGCAGTATTCATTTCTGATCCCCATCCACTCAGTGATTTAACCACTAGCCCCAATAAAAGAAATAAATTTTAAAAACACACACACACTATCACGTTATACATCAATAAATTAGGGCTTTGAACCAACAAAGGAAGGGCCAGAGAACAAGGAGAATTAACCTCCGAGTTGGAATAATGACTAAGAGATCGACTCTGGTTTCAAATAAGTCATGGCGGTGCGATTGTAGACTGGGGAGTTCAAATAGGAAACAGCACTACGAATCTGTCGTGGCACGTTCTCGCCGTGTTGCACTTGGCAGAGGTCGCACATCCACATGAACAAACTGGCGAATGCTATCACAGTCCAAGTTCTGATTCAATAGTGGCTGGTGGGCAGTTTTTAAGAGCAAAACCATTACAGGACTTTCTGTCTGGCCAGAGAAATAAATGAAACGATGGAAAGGTGGAAAGTACAATAAAATGTTTTATGGTCATGCTGCTACCTTAGGGGAAAGAATTTGAACTCTTGGGTCCTGGAGGGTTTTAAAGGACTGCTTTATGTTGTTTTTAAGATTTTGGAACACTGTCATAGACTTAAAAATTTTTTTTAATTAAGTCAGGATGCCATTTAAATGTTCCAATTGATTTAATTAATGAATCCTATTTGTATCAAATAGATTTATTATGTTATTTTCAGTTCAAATTAAATTTGGTTGATGACTAAAATACTGAATAGACATACTGCTCTTCAGAACTGATACAACTATTTTTATCTAAATTTTACTACTATATTCACACATTAGTACAAACTCACAATGCAATTACAACAATAAAACACATTTAATATTTTTTTTTTTTTTTTTTTTTTTGCAATTTGCACTATCAATACTATTGCCCTTTAAGGCTGGCATTGAAAGTTGGAAAAAAACCTTCTTTGGAATGTGGTCTTATCTGTTGACATCACTCACTGAGTCCTGTGCATCCATTAGCACCACCTACTGGGCTGAAGTGAATGTATCAGCGTTAAGGGTCTGCCAGGAGTTATGGGGCCGAGCAAGATGTGATTAAATACTTTAATTGCATTAATTTTGTGTAATTAAAGAATTTAAATGAAATAATGTAAGGTTATTTGCATAATAGATATAAGTTGTTGGCTACATAACAAAAATAATGATAGATTAAGATAGACAGAAGGAATGATAGGGATTCAGCTGAACAGCGACGTACGTACAGGAAATTAGACCAAATTATCACTTATTAAATAACAAATGCGAGACAATGAGACTTTTATAAACTGCGTGTTTCAGTGTAATAGAGTTACAACTACCAGGAGACAGTGGCAAGCGTATGACAACTGATAAAAGTCAGGACTACGGCTCCCAAGCAGAGGCATGTCAGTGTAGTCACTACACTGTAGTGACTGACTGCCGCCCTCCCTTGGCTGAATGTTTTAGAACAGCTAAAATTGCTTTCTCGTTAATTAAATAAAATTTGACTCTGTATCTGAAATTAAAAATAAAACTTACCTATCCGCAATATTATTGGTGAATTCGCACAAGAACCTCTTTGAGTATGCTTCAGACGTCATAGCAACTGGCTGAATTTTGTTCCTTTTCTCTTCGCGTCTTCCTTCATTTGACGGTATCTCCCGGTGTAATAAACGAGCTAACGCTGCCTCAAGTGACCAATCAGAGCAGGCGTTTCGCCGTGTTTTCTTATGCGTCACGTGTGTTTTGTGCGGTCGATTGCGACCGCAGATGGTTCGTCGTCTGCTTCTCGCATGTCGCTGCTTTATCTCCTGTTGTTTAAACAGCGTCTAATGAAAACAACAGAGTCCGTCCTGTTGGAGGGACTCGCCATCCGGTACCGAACGCAACAGCCTGCGTGAAATAGGGAATGAGCGACGAGACAGCACCGGACTGCTGGAAGAGAAACTCCGGGTGCCCCAGGTGAAGCTGCAGGGGACACATGCTAAGCTAACTTAGCAACAGTACCTTGTGGTGCTTCTAAGTATACATTGAACGTAAAGTAGTGTTTCACTGTTGTAAACTGTATGGTGAATTGTATATTTTAATTGGGTTTCACCTAAGCGAGCTGTAGGATATTTTTTGATAGAGTTAAAGGGAACGTGGACATTAAATACTGTCAGAGAGATTTAAGTGTTGTATTGTTTTGCACAACATAAACAGAATGCATGGAACTGCTCTGGTTGTCAATGGGTATTTACCTGAATAGTGGGTGTTTCCTGGACAATTACATTTGTATTCGTTAGATATGAACAATTTAGCAAATCGATTTCAACAACACATTTGTAAAAAGTTTATACTTTTTGCTAGCAAATCGATTTCAACAACACATTTTAGTTTATACTTTTTAGTTTATACTTTTTACAAATTATATAAAACATTTATACTCAGAATACAGGCAGGCTTGCCCAGTGTGCAGGTTAACAATTCAAAATTGAGTAATTAGCATCTATCAAATATTTGGACTGATATCTTGTCTCATGTCTTATTAAATAAAGCGTAAGCAGAGAAATGTTGGTCTGTCAGCATCTACATTAAATAAACTGTGAACCATGTTTCCTGGAAATGCTTTTTTTTTTTTTTTTTAGCTTCTCTTATCAAAATGTCATCTGACGTGACACGCAACCTGTGTTTGGTTGTTGTTTTCGTTCAGTATTGAGCAAATGCTGGCCGTGAACCCCGGAAAGACGCCCATCAGTCTGCTGCAGGAGTATGGAACGCGGATAGGCAAGACCCCTGTGTATGACCTGCTGAAGGCAGAGGGACAGGCCCACCAGCCCAACTTCACTTTCCGAGTCTCCGTTGGAGAGATCAGCTGCACCGGTCAAGGCCCCAGCAAGAAGGCAGCCAAGCACAAAGCAGCTGAAGCTGCTTTGAAGATGCTCAAGGGAGGTCTCGGAGGTCCTGCAGGAATTGGTGTCGCAGAAGAAGGGTTTATCGTTGTTGATGTTTCTACTGATGGAGACAGGTCAGTGTCTTCTTTTGCACATTTGCATTCCATTGCTGTTAGAATTGTTACCTGAGATCTGAGGAGTGCAAGTAATTTTTTTACTTTTTTTTTTTATGCAGATCCCAGACAGAGATGAAGACGTCAGGCAGTTCTCAGCAGTCTGAATGTAACCCTGTAGGGGCTCTCCAGGTGATTAACTCTTCTTCTTAAAATATCTTTACCATACCATTTTATGATTATTTAAAAAAAAGTTAATATTTGTGATCTTCTTTTGCCAGGAGCTAGTGGTGCAGAAAGGATGGCGTTTACCAGAATATACCGTCACCCAAGAGTCTGGTCCGGCACATCGCAAAGAGTTCACCATGACCTGCAGGGTCGAAAGATTCGTGGAAATTGGTAAATGTGGTTCGAGTCCGTAACTGCGCGTCTCTCTGTGTGTATGCGTGTTTATTTACCCTGGCTTTGTAAATACTGCTCCAGGAAGTGGGACGTCCAAGAAGCTCGCCAAGAGGAACGCAGCGGCGAAGATGTTGTCCCGCATACACGATGTCCCGGTTGACCTGAGGACCAACAATGAGGCCGAGTTGGAAGACGACACCTTTACTATCGTAAGAAACAAACGCGTTACCTGTACTTATGAAAATCTCTTATGCACGCGCTCAGATTACAAATCTAGTGCTGCTAGATCTAGCTGCCGCGGACACCTTAGGTAGTCCACGCGGGTCTACCAGATGCCCCTGCTTTTGCCGCAAATATTCTCTACTGTGTACCTTATACTAACTCAAGTTTTTAATTCAGCCAATGGGCAGCAGGGCAGAGTCAGGCAAAAGTAAAGGCTTCAGCTGCACCTGGGATTCTCTGCGCAACTCTGCCGGAGAGAAGATCCTTCAGCTGCGCAGCCACCCTCTGGGAATGCCCTCAGACTCCAACTCCTGCTCCCTGTTGAACGACCTGTCTGTTGAACAGCGCTTTGACGTCAGTTACCTTGATTTAGGTGAGTTGTAAAACAGCAGGCGTGTCTCTCAAGATGCCGTTCTTCGAGGTGAGGCATCACTGTTCAAGGGCAGTGGGTTGTTATTGCTCTCACACTTGCATGCCGGGATGAAGCAGTATCAGAGTCAGCAGGCGCAGTTGTGAATTCTGTAGCAAGTCAGAGGTTTAAACCCCTTCCACTGTGGGGGATGAAGCAGTATCAGAGTCAGCAGGGGCAGTTGGGATTTCTGTAGCAAGTCAGAGGTTTCCTGCATGCCAATGTGTCCTTGGGCAAGAAGCTTAACCCCAGAGTTTCTTCTTGTGGTTGTGCTGAGAGTGTAGGGATGAACTTAATTGATTACATTATAAATAGGGATGCAGAATCCAGCTAAAAATAATAATTTGAACTATATTTATCCCTTATTTGGGGAAATAGCTATTGTGTTAGCATAGCTATGCTATGCATGTGGTCCCTCTGGGAATCGAACCCAGGACTCTCTGCGGCCAAGGCAGGCGTGCTAGCCGCTACACTGTGGAACCAGCTCTGACAATAAACACTGCACTATAGCATTTCTTAAAAAAACAAAAAAGGAATTTTTTTTTTTTACACATCCATTCATCTGCACAAATTATGTATTAACAATACCTTTAATAAATCCTTAGTGACCGTATGTTATTAGATGATGTATTTATGCTATACAAAGTTTTTAAAAAATTATACATTATAAATATTGTAATGTATAATGTAATTATTTACCTGCAAGCTGAGACACTTGTGTTCTTTCTGGTTTCAGAGGAGCGTAGCCTGAGCGGCCTGTGTCAGTGTTTAGTAGAGCTGTCCACACAGCCAATCACAGTGTGCCACGGCTACGCACAGAGCATAGACGCCGCTCGAGCCAAGGCAGCCCACAATGCACTGCAGTACCTCAAAATCATGGCGGGAGGAAAGTGATGTCATTGTCCTCGTTGCAGCCTCCAACAAAGCAAACTTCACACTGCCAGGATGGTTTTTCACTTGGTGACGGAGAGGCTTTTTTGTTTTTTTGAAGAGTTAAAATCATGAAATACCTCAACTACTTTTTTTTTTTTTTTTCCCTTGACCTCAAGTTGACGTGCTGGAGCTCTGCTTTTGTCACTTTAATGTTTATTCTTAATGTTGCCCATTTTTTTTTATATAGTATTCAATTTTTGTCACCCATTTATATCAGGACTTTTTTTAACTGGAGAAAAAAAATATTTTAAATTGACTGAAGATGAATTCAGACGCAACAAAAACGAATTGGGCTTGGACTCTCTGTTCTAACGGATGGACACTAATTCAAATAGACGCTGCTGAAACCTGGAGAAACAGACTCTGTTATATGGATATTAGTAGAAAATGATCAGGTAATCTCGGCCCTGGACGCAAAGGTTGTTCTCTTTGTTCTTGAAAATGCGTTCTCACTTTTGTTTGCCTGTCCATGAAATTCATTGTCATGTGATGTTGTCACTCATTCTGCGAGGATCTGCGTTCTCTAATGTTTTTGGATCCGTATTGGAGAAAAAAAAAATTAGCTTGTTCTTAATCCGTTTTAATCATGTGAGTCTCATACTGAATTTATGGTGAATGGTGAATTTTAAACATAATCTTTGTGGAATTTTTTGTGGCAACCAAATTTGACATATTCAATTGGAATTTTAAACATAATCTTTGTGGAATTATTCATTTTTGCCTGATTATAAAATGTTTTTAAAACAGAATTTCAGGCAACCAAATTAAGCATATTCAATTTAATTAATTGAATATTGATTGAAAAAGTTAATCGGTCCCTAGGGGCAATTGGAGAGAGGGTTTTTGGGGTTTTTCTTACTTTTCCACTTAAAATCATAACATAAGAATGTTTATAAAATAACTTGGTGATTTAATAGCAGTTTTAAAAATATTACCCCAAAGTGTTTGATTAATGTGATATATATAAAAAAAATCCATCATGTAAACAGTAGACTGTTGATTCACAGTAAATCATTTGTTGACCATCTGCTTTTGCACACCACTGTTCAGTTAATGCTGAAAAGAGTTTGCACTCTCAAACATTGTTCCTTTGTACGGCGCAGGTTAACTCACTTCACCTCACTGTCACTGACAGGTTTTATTATCAGAGTGTTAAAGAAATTCATTGAAAATATTGGTCAGTTCTTGGTGCTAATAGATTTGCTGTTAAAGCAGTAGAAATTGTTGGTCGATGTATTTTATTTTTTTTTCCCCTTTTTTTGAAAGTGTGAGCTCCAGGTAGATTTTACGTTGTTACCAATAAAACGTTTTATTCAACTTTACTTCAAACTGTGTCATAACTTACGAAATTATTATTAGAAATTAAGAGATAATCATTTACAAATTTTTAAAAATATTTTATTGGACCTAGGGCTACAAAATGAACCTGACTGAGGATTGCATTTATAATTTTGTGAAATTAAAATTATAAGCATGGCCAGATTAGGCACACGGTATATTCAATTACTCTGCTGTCCATCCACTTATCATTGCTCTAATGCACAGTCAATACACGTCATTTGCGCACATTGCGGGGAAAAAAGTTTTCGTTTCACCAAAGCATGTCTCATGACGTTGAAGATGGGGGAGAGGGAGCTTTCAATATACTGTCTCTATTCATGCTTGAGCAATAAACAAGCCTCCGGTCACTAGATGGCAGCAGAGCAGGCTTCCTGTTCAACCTAGTGGGAGACTGGACGCAAAGGTTGTTCTCTTTGTTCTTGAAAATGCGTTCTCACTTTTGTTTGCCTGTCCATGAAATTCATTGTCATGTGATGTTGTCACTCATTCTGCGAGGATCTGCGTTCTCTAATGTTTTTGGATCCGTATTGGAGAAAAAAAAAATTAGCTTGTTCTTAATCCGTTTTAATCATGTGAATCTCATACTGAATTTATGGTGAATGGTGAATTTTAAACATAATCTTTGTGGAATTTTTTGTGGCAACCAAATTTGACATATTCAATTGAATTAATTGAATATTGATTGAAAAAGTTAATCGGTCCCTAGGGGCAATTGGAGAGAGGGTTTTTGGGGTTTTTCTTACTTTTCCACTTAAAATCATAACATAAGAATGTTTATAAAATAACTTGGTGATTTAATAGCAGTTTTAAAAATATTACCCCAAAGTGTTTGATTAATGTGATATATATAAAAAAAATCCATCATGTAAACAGTAGACTGTTGATTCACAGTAAATCATTTGTTGACCATCTGCTTTTGCACACCACTGTTCAGTTAATGCTGAAAAGAGTTTGCACTCTCAAACATTGTTCCTTTGTACGGCGCAGGTTAACTCACTTCACCTCACTGTCACTGACAGGTTTTATTATCAGAGTGTTAAAGAAATTCATTGAAAATATTGGTCAGTTCTTGGTGCTAATAGATTTGCTGTTAAAGCAGTAGAAATTGTTGGTCGATGTATTTTATTTTTTTTTCCCCTTTTTTTGAAAGTGTGAGCTCCAGGTAGATTTTACGTTGTTACCAATAAAACGTTTTATTCAACTTTACTTCAAACTGTGTCATAACTTACGAAATTATTATTAGAAATTAAGAGATAATCATTTACAAATTTTTAAAAATATTTTATTGGACCTAGGGCTACAAAATGAACCTGACTGAGGATTGCATTTATAATTTTGTGAAATTAAAATTATAAGCATGGCCAGATTAGGCACACGGTATATTCAATTACTCTGCTGTCCATCCACTTATCATTGCTCTAATGCACAGTCAATACACGTCATTTGCGCACATTGCGGGGAAAAAAGTTTTCGTTTCACCAAAGCATGTCTCATGACGTTGAAGATGGGGGAGAGGGAGCTTTCAATATACTGTCTCTATTCATGCTTGAGCAATAAACAAGCCTCCGGTCACTAGATGGCAGCAGAGCAGGCTTCCTGTTCAACCTAGTGGGAGAAGAATTTGTACAGATAAATAAATAAATAAATATTCCTGGGCGCTCGAGAGTATTTCGATTTGGGTTTATGGATTAATCATGATTAATCTTGATACATTTATTCACTAATGAATCGTGATTATGCGTGAATAAGCCAGAGCTACGGTGACGAATCTGGAAATCACATTTACAACTGTACACACAGTACTTTGTTGTTTGTCATCTTCCACTCCTGTCTGACAGCAAGCTGCCGTCCTCATCGGCGTAACCGCTGCTGTCCGACTGCACGCTGTCCCCCCGGATCACCTCCACTGGGGTAGAACCAGAAAAACTTGTTACTCATTTGAGGCTTGTCAAATTGACAATAAATAAATTGACAATGATGATACATTTTTTACAACTTTCTGACGACCCTAGAGACAACATTTTATCAATCATTTTTTAATCTATTACTAGATATTTCAGGCGACCCCATTTGAATTCCAGGTGACCCCACTTGGGGCCACGATCCCAAGGTTGAAAAACACTGGATTAGGGTAGAGAAATGTGCAGTGACTTTGTGATGAACTTTTTCAAGAGAATTGTCTGTTAAATAAAAAAAAGATGTTTTCATCACATAACAACAAAGGCTTGTTTTTTTTTTTTTTTGTTTTTTTTTTTTTGAACAAGATCTGGCAGAGATACTTTTTATGTCTGCCCTGGAGCTGCGGCCCAGATGTGTCAAGATCAAAGTAGATTGGCTGATCACAGATTTGAGTTTTTATTGCATCTTTAAAAAGTGTGTTATTCTGTCATAGTGGTACTTGTTTGAAAAGTTGTGCTTTTGTAAACGTGTCAACATAGTTCTGATTTGGCAAAGAAAACCCAAATATACCGTACCTTTAGGCTGAGGAGTTGAGGTTAAAAGTGAAGTTGTTGCTTTTGTAGTGTTTGACTGATCCAAATCCTCTTCCTCCGTACTGTGCACCTGTGGATACACAGGATTATAAGACACATTGTATTTCAGCTTCGTATATGGAATATTTAGGTTACGTTACAAATATTGTACATTGTGTAAGTTAAAAATAATGATCAGGTTATGAAAACTCAGCAGCATTGATTTTACTATAGGGCAATTAAATGCTGTTTTAGCTCTGGTGGGCCACAGAAAATGACTTGACCTTGAGTTTGACACATGCTATAAAGTCTGTACAAAAACAGCAACGTGCTCAGCTGTTCAGGGTGGAATCTTGTTGTCCACTCAGGTAAAAAAAAACAATAACAAAAAACAACAACTAATACAATAAGTGAATGAAGTTAATAACTCCAGACTGACTTAAATACAGTTTTAATTCATTTTATCATTTATTTTTATCTTGACGTAAATTGTATTAGTATTTTAATTACTTTTTGTTTTGTTTGTATTTTATACATAGTATTGATTTTTTTAGTTTCTGTTTTTGACTGTTTTTTCAGATTCGTACATGTTATGGTACGATTACTATTTTTGTTTATTATAATAATTAGGTTTAATATGTATGTTATATTTTATTTTTTACCAAGCTTGCAATTGTCTTGCTTTTCCACTTTTCCTACTTTTCATTCAACACAGGTATTGCTGAGAAAAGGCAGAGGTATAATGATAATATAAATAAATTATATCATTTGGAAAAGTTTGGCGGGCCGAATTAAAAAGCTGACCGGGCCGCATCCGGCCCCCGGGCCTTAGTTTTCCCATGCCTGTTTTAGCATTACAGCATTTCCAGAGTTTTATATGCTGTTGAAAGGAACACATAGAAACGTAACCAATGCCTCGTACCTCCTCCAGCTCAAAAGAGTTGACCTGTTGCAGGCTGCTGCAGATGAGCCCTAGGCCCTGAGGTGGAGGAGGATTCAGGCACCAGGTCTTCCCCTTGTCAATTGACTCCTCACAGGTCTGGACTGGTGGGAAGCTTGGGGTATGTGTGGAATCTGGCGTGTTCGAGATAAGAGGAGAAGAATTCTCTTCCTCCCAGCTGTTCACTGAGCTGCCGTAATTAGTGAGGCTTCCATTCAGAGCCAGGACCGGGAGGGAAGAGGTGACAGTGCATGTGTCGTCCTCAGGCTCACAGAGAGGGACTTGTACCCAGGTTTCTTTAGCTCTGGCACACGACGCAGCGTTTCGTTGAGAACAGAACGGAACCTGGCGTACGCTTTCGGCGATCTGCGAGCAGATTCGATCGTATGCAACCAAGGAAACGGGTTTTATCTCGGCTCCCTCTGCGTGACACTCCTGCTGCTGTGACTGAGGGGAGAACACGCACTGATCTGTTTGTATCACAGTTTCTACTGACACCCATGACGAGTCTTCAGATGTTTTTGCGTTGTGAGCATCGGTCAGTCGGATGTTTATTTCCTCTCCAACACCGAGTCCGTTGCTGTTTAACTCCTTGGGTCCCTGCTGAAGAGTGTGCGTGTCCACCTCTTCTTCCGCCCTGCCGGGAAATTTAGCATCGTTTGCGACCACACCTGCGTTACCATCGATATGATCCTCGAGATTCAGTTTCTTAGCACGTCCGCTAGCAGGTTTCTCCAGCACTGTTTCTGGAATGTCAGGGAGGCTAGGCCTTTTCTTGGGTGAGGTCTGCGGTGAGGTGGAGTCCGATCCTCGGGGAGAGCCTGTGTAGAGACACATTTTGGAGACGGTGTCCTTCAGCCGCTCTACCGGAGAACGAGGTTCGCTGCGAATGTGGTGCCTATAGCATTCTAACTTCTCCAGCGTAGACGAGAAGGTAAACTCTGGAGTTTCCAGTCTCTGGAGGGGCGTGCGGGACACGTGGGAGTAGAGGCCGTAAAAGGCGTTGGCCGTTTCTGTGAGAACTTGGACTTGCCTGAAACGACCTGTAGGGTCCGATTTGGAATATCGTTAGTCATTAGTCATTAGGGTAGAATTATACACAGTAGGGGGCACAGCTCTGTGGGTTTTAGGGTGTCGTGCTGTGTTCGGGTGAGAGCTCAACCCAAAAACTACGTTGTGGAAACTGAGCAGGAAGAAGCTCACGGTTCTCTTCAAACTGAGACTGCTGTCATTTTAGACAATGTATCCTCAGAACTAAGGATAAAATAAATCATACATCTAAGATGAATAAAATAATCACCAACATGGTGCCCAGGGGTACCTGAAATAAATCATACATCTAAGATGAATAAAGGGGTCACCAACATGGTGTCCACGGGTACCTGGTAGCCCCCAGGGATTACCTAAGTCTCCCGCGTATGTTCTAATGTTGGTATGTTACAAAAATAAAAACTACCGTAATCTCCGGACTATTGAGCGCACCTGAATATAAGCCACACCCACTAAATTTAAAAAGAAAAAAAATAATTGTACATATATAGGCCACACTCTATAAGCCGCAGGTAGGATATTTACACTGAAAGATTTCTTTTCACTTTTTAAATAAATGCCTTTTTAGTGATCTGCTCCAGGGCTGAAGCTAACATCAGTTCCGGGGCTAACTCCCTTCACTTTGTGCTTGTCAACAGCAAAGGTGAACAAATCCACAGCAGAGGTAAACAAAAACAGAGTTTTAACAGCCGCTGTATAACCAACTCACGTTAGGACGATAACTGCTCTCAACTTTAGCTACCGTGCTTTAGCTACTTCGTTAGCACGAAAAAATCCATAAATTAGCCGCAGGGTTCAAACCGTGTGAAATAAGTAGCAGCTTATAGTCCGGAAATGATGGTTGTTATTTCATTGTTAGGGAAGTCTGTATCAAACAAGTAGCTCTTGAAGTTCCCTTGAAGCGGCTTTCAGTTTCAAAAAGCTTGGTGACCACTGAACAGCTGAACAGAAAGTGAGCAGAGCTTTTACGCCAAAAGTGCATTTCTGAAATAAACAAATAAACTGACAATGTTGGTTAAATAACTCTTAACATCCGGCGCCTTACTAGCAAGAGAGAGTCTGGGGTCCTCCTCCCGTATCCGCCTCAGCTGAGAGTCCAGGAAGAGGCGGAAGTTGATGCCTTCAGCCTGAGAAGGGAAGGTGAAGAAACGAGCTGGGATGCGCACAGGAACCTGCGGCTCATCGAAGCCAAAGCCCAGCTCATACAAAGTATTTTCAGCATCTTCCGCGCACATCTGCAGGACCTCTGAAACACTAGAAGTGCATGGAGACACACACACACACACACAAAAGAAATGCGTAAAGCTCAAGAATGCGCAGCACTTTTTAGGACGGTGTGTGCGAAAGCCTTACCTTGATGTAGTCTTCAGGGTGGAGGAGGAGTTGCAGGAGGAGGCCATGCTGAGATTCAGATTCAAGGACTGGAGATATGGTCCTGAATGAGAGCTGCTACTGACCAGAGAGCAGATGGATCGTAAATGAGCCCGAAAAAAAATCTGATACTTGTATGCTTCTGAGTCTACGTCAACTTTTCTCTAGTGTGGAAAGTAATGAATTACATTTACTCTCTTACTGTGTTACTGTAATTGAGTAGTTTCTGTGAGTAATTTGTCATTTTTGAGTAGTTTCAGGAATAGGTAGCTTTACTTTTTGCTTAAGTACATTTTGACATTTAAAGTAACTAAGTAACTTTTACTCAAAGTAAATTTTAAATGAAGTATTTTTTTTTTTTACTTAGAATTCAAGCAAAGTAAAGATACTTTTATTTGATTACATTGTTGGTACTTTTTCCACCTCTGTACTCAGGTACACATGTTTTGTTTTGTATTTGTTTATGTATAACTATGTACTTTATGATTATGTTTGTCGGTGAAAAACACAGTAGATGAGTGGGCGGCTGAAACTGAAACTGAAAATGATTTGGCGGCTGTGGAATGACTGATACAATTAATAGAGGATGTAAAAGTAGAGTCTTTTACATCCTCTATAAATTGTATTATTATTATTATTATTATTGTGTCAAACTCATTTTGGTTCAGGGGCCGCATACAGCCTAATTGTACTGGTCCGAGTGGACTGGACCAGTACAATCATAACATGATTACCTATAAATAATAATAACAATGTTTCCCCTTTGTTTTCATGCAAAGAAGTACAAATATATCAGCTAAATCTTTATATCATTATACAAAACACTTCCTGAACATGAAGTGTTTTTTTGTTTGTGTGTTTGTTTGTTTTTTTTCAAAATTCATCAAGCACGCCAAAAACAAAACCCAAAAAGGGACAGTTTTGGTCCAGGAACCATATGTTTGACACCACTGCTCTAGACTAAAACCATCGAAAAAGACATTTTAGTTGAAAAACAGTTTGTGGTCTACTGACCTTTTTGTGTGTCGTTGCTTGAGGCAAGAAAGCAAAGCACAGCTTCTTGGTCAGCACAGCAGAAGAAAAACAGATTATTATTAGTTGTATTGCAGTGTAACATTATAAAAAAAAAGTGTGATGTTGTGGAGAAATGAGTCGCACATTTTGAATGATTTCATAAATAGAAGGCGAGCTGGTGAAGAGACCTGATTGTCACCGGTCAGTGTGTAAGTTCTTCTGCTACTCACCCTGCTTTGCTCGGTGTTTCTCCATCATTACACACAGCAGCTGATTAAAAAAAAACAAAAAAAAAACAGACATTAACATGCGTCCCAAAATCTGTCACAGGATTACTGACATACAACGGCATGTAACGTCTTGCGTCTTGTGTGTGTGGATAGGTTGGGTTCTTAAAGAAAAAAAAAATCATTTTCGCTTTAACAACTTGTCTGAATTACTTCTCGAATTAACAGGAACAAATATTCGGGCTAAATATAGTAATATGCATGCATGTGTGTGTATCAGGTCAACCTATACTTGTGGGGACAAAAACCCATGTGTGTCTTTAATATGACCTGCAAAACGTCCCCAAGAGTATAGTTTTACCAGGAACACAAAAACCAGTGTGTGTGTGTGTATATTCCTATAGATGTACTTAGTGGGGACATTTTGCAGGTCCTCTTTTTGGGTCAGATTAGAGTTAGAGAAAGGGTTAACATTATGCATTTATTTGTAAATGTGTCACTGACTGTCTACGTGAAGTGCTGACAAAACCAAACGAAAAGTGTGTGTAGGTGTGTGTGCAGGTTTGCTCACACTTACCATCAGCCCCAAGACTGATGTCATCATCGCAGTTGCTGGTTTGAGGCGATAATTCTGCAGAGTGAACACACACACTCTTTGACTTTGAATCACTTGAGTTATATATATATATATATATATACTCATCATAGGTTATACTTGCAAATCTCAAATATTTGCACTTTTGCCTCAAAATACGTTAGCAATCATTAAATTACTTTTCTACGTTTATGATCTACCAATAGGAATACAGAGCACACTAACTGCACCTCACTAATTATTGACTTGAATCCATTCAACGTTTTTGACAAGGCTTTAGTTTAGTTCTTACCCAAACTCAAATGACCGGGTTTCCGCGAAGTGGCTTCTGACCTGTAACACATATTTTATAAGTGTTTCATAGACGCGGGGGGGGGGTTGGAGCTCTCACGTCTATCAAACACTTTGAGAGGAACAGTGATCGGTCTGTGAACACGTGTCAACTTCCTCTTGTGAATGTTGACAGAAAAAATGACATCTCAAAGTGAAGTTTAACTGCCGGCTAGTGGATGTATGGCTGTCTCACTACTTCTTTCACTTGGAGCTAGTTCTTAGCACACGCAGCCATTCTGACACTCACACTGTGGTTACCCCTCAGACACAACCACTAATGCAGCTTCCTTTTAAGTGATTGCCATACGCGACAAGAAGTTGGTCGAAGCAAATTAGTATGCCATACTAATTAACTCCGCAGACAGAGATCAAAAGGTCAACTTTACGACACTTATCACTAATGCTAACAACTTAATGTTTAAGTAAAAACATTCATATTCACAGGAATACCATTAAAAACATTTCTCGCTGAAGACTTGTCAACACCTTTGTAAGCATAGTCCTCAATGGAAACACTGAAATCTCCGGTGCATCAACGTCACTGCACTGTCTCTGTGGGACCGGAGAACTCAGAGTGTTTCCATGTCTGTGCTGTTGTCTGTTAAAGCAGTTTCCAGCACCTGACACATTGGCCTTTAGAATATGTGACATAAAAAATGATGGTTATAAAAAAAAAAAATTCAGACTCACCCACAACCGAGCAGCCAGTTCTCAATCTTTCCTGTTAGGTTTCCTGTGGAAAAAAACACAAGTACATTGAGCAATCTTTAGTAAATTGATTTAAGTTTAAGGTAAGTTTCGGTTAAGTTTAGGTTAAGTTTGAGTTAAGTTAAGTTAAGTTAAGTTAAGTTAAGTTAAGTTAAGTTAAGTTAAGTTAAGTTAAGTTTGAGTTTAGACTTAAGTTTTTGAATAAAGGAAAGGAGCCTAAAAAGTACTTTTGATGGCGGCTAAGTTGTGTCGCTAGTTACAAAGTTAGACTTTTATAAAAGTAATGCAACAATTTCTGATTTACCTATAAATATAAACTGAGACTGCTGTCAATATATATATAAACAAATATATATATAAACAAATAAAGTATATAACAGTGCTGTTTTTTTCCTTTTTTAATTAGTTGCTTATTTTATTTTTATAAAATGATTTGCTTTATCATTTCCGTGCAATTGGTTGATGTCGTAACTAGTAGAAGAGTTCAAGTTAGTTACTGTACCATCGGAAAACACATCATCATCTGCTATGGAGGCAGAGGGAAGCTGACACAACGGCTCTTCGGACTCCTCCAACGTGGGCCACTGACGGCTGCTGTTTATCCATGCCCTCCGTCTCACTGTGGAGGACGAGCTGTCCATGGTCAAAACTCGGTTCAGAGACAGCAGGGTGGCATGTTGTGTCTGGAACCAGAGAGCAGGGGATGAAGAATGTTTAGTTTGCTGAATCTCGTACTTAATAGCAAGAGCGACCCAGAGGATGGACGTTCTTGGCGTCGACCGACCGATGGAGTCACCAGATTGACCCGGGGTTTGTGACTTAGCTGGTGTTCAGGTGTAGCCACTTTGTGAGGGCAGATTGATTTTTCAACACCTCAGGGACCTCGATGGTGACGTCAAGAAATATTCCAGACAAAATGAAAACAATGAAAAATGTTTTTTTCAAAAAGACAGATGAAGTCATGATGAGATAGAAACATTTGAGTGAACAACTGACTATAAAGCTGATGAGTACAGAATGTTCAGTGGAAGAAAAGGGCCATTGGAAGAAAAAAAAAATTAAAAATTAAATATATTATTGTATTTATTTATCGTGTATTTAATATATTGAATTATTTGCTTTGCCCAATCTGTTTTATGCAAAATTGTAATTTTAAACAGAATAACTAATATTTAACATATTTGATGGTATATAAATTGTAATATGTAATGTAATGTAACGACAATAAATAGAATCAATGACATAAATACAGTTTCCCCCTCTCTCAGAACAGGTCAGTTGATTTAACAGGCAAGAAAAAGAATTTTGTCATGAATAAAAAAAAAAATGCCTCGATCGTACCTTCAGGTTCAGATCACACTTTTGCCTCTGGCGCCATTTCTTTGGTTTCCTGTGGTTGCAGTGCCAGAGCAAAGAGCGTAACTTCAGCTGCTGTCTTCGACAAAACGTCTAACAACATGCACTCGTCATGTGGTTTCTTCAGTGACTGACACACCATTGTGAGTTTGGTCTAATTTTCCTCTGAAGCCGTATCAGCTCTGTATCTAAACGCGCGTGGAACGTCGCAGGGGAGCGGGTGGTGAGAATGTACGGAAGTGATTGAACGTTGCATCTGAAACAGACGTTTATCAGTTTGCAGCACATCCTGCAGAAGAAGAAGAAAAAAAATGCAGATATGCTGCTGTAAATGTCAGAGATAACAATGACTGCTCAAGTGCCTTATTGGCACTTCTTTTAACAGTTTAATGTAATGAACAGTTTAATAGTTTTTAACATAACAGTGTAGGGTTTCAGTAAAAATTGCTTTTATTTTTATTGTGGAGCAAGTCCTTCATAGACAGGGCGCTTTCGGGTGTCATCATTTATGAGGGGATTTTAATATGTAAAGTGTATGTTCCTTAACCCTTATCAAACTGTTGGTCCAACCAGTCATGGCTAAGTAGGGTCATTTTTGTGAGTGCCTCTGCATGACTCTTTACCATTAACCCTAACCCTAACTCCAAACAAACTAAGACTCGACCCTTCAAATACCCTCTCAAATGTCCCAAAAAGAGGGAAAAGTTCCCATACCCTCTCAAATGTCCCAAAAAGAGGAAAAAGTTCCCCCGCAACCATAGCATTTTCCAAAGAACATTCCAGAACCGGTTGAGAGCGCAATACTTTGAAAATAAATGATTATATTAAATGATTATATCATTATGTAAACTACAACAAATTACAGACCTGTAAAAAATTAACTTTGGTGTTTCTGAATTGTGCTAAAATACCAAGGATTACAGCTGTCATGCATTTCTATTAGCCCAGTCATAAGGGCTAATAGAATGTAAACGCTGTCATGCATTTCTATTAGCCCAGTCTAGGGCTAATAGAATGTATTAGTTTGTGTGTCTTTTTTTTAAAAAAAAAAAGGATAAATAAATATAATTAAAGGCATGTACACAAATTTATAATGGACCAAGGTGTTTCTGTATTTGGTTTGTTCAATACTGTTATATTTGTATTTGTATTATTCAATATGTATTGTTTCTTTTGTCTTGTAGGTATAATCCTGGGTCACAAGGATTTTTAATTCCACAACATTGAACAATATTTGTAACTTGTATAAATAAAAATCATTTGCAGTAACATTTATTAATACATTATGGAGCAGTTACACCTAAACATTCTACCATTTACAATGGGCTCTTCAAGAGGAACTGTGTTGTTGATTTGTGAAAATAATTTGACTTACACCTAAACATTCTACCATTTACAACGGGCTCTTCAAGAGGAACTGTGTTAATAATTTGAGACCCCAGCCCTAAAACCTAGTCTCTAAATTATTAAATTACTACTTATCCATGGCTCTTTCTATTTATTTTTTATTTCACTGTTGTATTTAATGGACATGTTGACCTTATTATGAACAGACTTATTATTAGCAGTAGTAAATTCTGTTACTCACCTACTGACTACTGTGGTCTCGTCCTCACAGAAGCTTTGTTTAGTTGTATATACAATCTATTGGTAGAATCATTCACACTTTCAGGCTAGCATGCAGCATGTGTAAACTATTCAAATTCAAGCTCGTGTGGACCAAATCTCTTCTCTCCTTTTGGATTATATAGCTACGACAAAGGCCCACAAGTGTGTGTGTCAATTTGTTTGATAAGAGGGTCAGTGTTCCGCCTGAGGATGGACTCCACCTTCGGTACTGTTTACATGGACACATGTGCTGCTTCACCGACAGCCCCCTCACACACGGAACAATGATAGGAACCCTCCCACAAAGCCGGTATTCTCCTCCCAGCGCGGTTACAGCCAGTGTCAGACAGTGAAGGGGTCTCCTCTCCTCCACCCTGACTGACTCCTCCCGCCTATCTGCTCTTTCCCAACCCACGGGGCGCCACCAAGGAGTGGCCAGTGGCCACGGAGGCAAGACTTGAAAAGCCAGCACGCCTTGCTCCTTCCCCACCTCTCTGCCCACAGAACAGTAACAACTTCTGAGTAGTTTAATTATTATTTATTATACCAAGCGCAGAGGAAGTATCGGAAATGTGACAATTTAGATAAATGCCCTGACGTATGTCGTCTTTTAGACGGATAATATGTAACTCAACGTAAGTCACGCCAGGGTTACAACCTACCATGCTTGATCCCGCCCTATTATCGACCTTTTAACCAATTATATAAGGTGGTAGATAGTCGTTGTCTAAAACAACCTATTCTATTGGACAAAAGAAGCAATCATTCACACGTTGCTCGTGGAGGGGTGCGCTTCTGTTTGTTATGTGAACACCCGAAGTAAACTGGTGACGGTGATTAAAAATTGAGTACGTGACAAAATGTCGATGTGTTGCCATGAAATTTGGCTGCCACATATTCATCTGTCGTTGTATTTTGTCAACTGTTTGGATGATTTCATCATCACGATTTAAGTACTGACAATGTGATGTATTTACATGGAAATATATTGTTTTCAGGCTCGTTTTTTGCTTGAACAGGATAAAAAAGAATAGATGATACAGTGAGTTTTGGTCTAAACAACTTAGAAAACTTAGGTTGGACTATATGCATTAAGAAATGTTTATTAAGATTCTTGATGATTTATTTTGTTTGTGACTAATGATAAAAATAATTTATGCATTGGAGCACAGATTCATTATTACACGTGAAGATAAATATCCAGCCCTAGGACAAATCCCATTTCTCAGTCACTAGTGTAAGAAATCATATTTAATTGGGGGCTATATTGTGAATTATTATTTGCAAATGTGTGTTAAAGCTAAATAAAAAATAAAAAAGTCTTCATGACTTATGTTTCTAAATTATCTGGAAAAAAGGTATTTTAGAGGAGCTGACGGGGGGTGCTGCCGTATAAATCGAACACACCGTGTTTTCTTCTCGTTAGCGGGCGGGCGGTCAAGTTAGTGTGAAGTTGTGAAAAGTTGTCAACCCGAGAAAAGCGCAGAGAAACTCCTCCCGTCTTCAAATAATGAGCAGTAAGTGAACTTTTTTAAAACTCGGCGGCGTGCGGTGAGGCAAAGTTTAAGTTTACAGATCGTTGTCGAATCAAGCTATGGCTCTATCAGTGTACGCCCCGTTGTTACGGTGATGTTTTATTGTTTTCCAGCTAGATCCGAAGCAGTTTAAAAGTATCAGCTACTTTAGAGCTATTGTCGATACTGAGCTAACAACATTTAGCCAAGCAAATCAAGCTGGCTAACTGATTCACACTTAACTACTGTTCTTGAATAACATTGTCCGTTTACGCTAAAGTTTATTTGTCTTTGGTTGTTATACAAATATCTACAGCAATGCTTTGCGGTGTAGTTGGACACTCTCTGGGTGGTACTTTACCACTTTTATATCACATTAGTTGCGAGTGGTAGGTTGCTGTTAGCTTAGCTATCAACCTAGCTGGCCCCTCCAGCACTTGTAGCTTGCTTGGATTTCCTTGAGGAATTTCCACACTAAAATGACAGTTATTTTTATTTTTATTTTCTTCCATAGTCGACTACAATGATACTCTAGCACTATCTCGTCTTTGAAGCTTAACCTTAACTGAGTTGTACAATTTAGTTAGATGTAGTCGAAGGTAGAAGACTCTCTTCTCTGAAGACTGATCTCACAAACTCTTCTTCCGCAGATCAGCAGCAGGGTGACATGGCCGCTGTGGGGAGCGGTGGAGGCTTCGGTCAAAAGCGAAACACAAACTCCCAAGTAGGTTTTACCGAACGCATTCGTTTACGCTGTTGCCAAATCAATAGGTTTTAATGATGACATTCACTCCTTGTTCTTAAACTATCTTGATGTAATGTTTTAGCGTCGCGTCATTTGGCTCTGTTCTCCTTCTGTGTTGGTAGTTGAGAAACGTTGTTGATTTTTCTCTCAAAGCACATGTCACCGGGGTGGGGAATGGGCAGGTAAATTTCGCCCACACGGGGTGTTCCCGTCAAACCCCGGTACAAAATGTGCACTTCGCTCGGCCCATTTGGCTGGCTTTGGAGGGGGTGGCTAGAGGAGTGTGTCAGTTTATAGGGCAAAATAAAGTGTGGGAGGGAGATGGGTGGGTTTGGGGGGAGGGGAAGCAAAGCCCGCCGCTGCTCTGGGAAAACTCTTGTCCCTCCCATACTCTCCCACCGTGTTTCCCCCCACAGATGTCACACTCAGGACGGCATCACGAATGTAATGTGATTCGGGAGTTAAGTAGAATAGCATATGTTCCTAATGTTGACGTGAATTAGTCAATAGCTCTGAAGAAAACAATCAGCCGTTAACGTCCAAGTGTGTCATTAACCTGCTCATAATAATATACTGTATATTATATATAAATAATTATAATTTAATAATATAACTATAAACAAATGTATTGTAAATCATCTAAATGTAAATCAATCTAAGCTTTTTTTCAAAGGCCTCCTGGCTAACAGTACTAATTTCTGCATGTTTGATATTTGAGATACATGCAGTGTACGCTTAAAAATAATAACTATACATAGAGAATTCAAAGTTGTTTGACTTCATGGGTATTCGATGCTTAGTTTTGGAATTAATTTTCTGTTGAATTGATTCTGGATCACAGTTCTCCCTATTGCAGTAGTATATCACAGGATACTGGTTTACACATACACAAAAATTGTTATATAGTTTAAACCAATCCAGCTGTGAGACAACGGAACATAAATGTCCTTTCCTTTTTCTTTTTTTTTTTTGAATTTTTCCTAGGACTCACAGCAGCCATCTCCTCTAGCCTTGTTGGCAGCCACATGCAGTCGAATTGACACCCCAGGAGAAGGCGATTCCCCGTCAGAGCAAAACCAACACCAACATCCCGAAATTAATCAGGTTTTTACCACCGGCGCCAACGGCTGGCAGGTCGTACCTCTCAGTGTCCACGCAACCTCAGGCACTAACACTATCACCACGGAGACATCTGTGACAATGACAGGGGGAGACCCAGGAAAGAGCAGACAGGTGGTGTCACCATCAACAGTTGCCGTAAGCACTCAGGGACACCACCACCAGCAGCAGCCACAGCAGTACGTAGTGGCCCAGGCTCCGTCCATGCAGGGTCAGCAGGTGCTTACCACCATATCGGGCATGATGCCCAACATCCAGTACCAAGTTATTCCACAGTTTCAGACAGTTGACGGTCAGCAGTTGCAGTTTGCACATACACAGCAGGAGACCGCTGTGTCTGCAGCAGGGGCAGGCCAGCAGTTTCAGATTGTGTCCTCTTCTAATGGTCAGCAGATCATAGCAGCAGCCAACAGGCCTGGCACAGCAGGAAACATCATAACAATGCCTGGTCTCCTTCAGGGTGCCATCCCCATACAAAATATAGGCCTAGCCAATGGAGTTTTACAAAACCAGCCCCAGATCCTGGCTAACATGCCTGTGTCCCTTAATGGAAACATCACATTGTTGCCTGTCAGTACTGGAACCAGCACGGGGGGAGAGGCAAGTGGTGGAGGGGATGCAGGTGGAACCCAGCTTATACAGCAGCAACAGTCACACCAGCCAGTGTCTTCCAACAGTGGGACAGGTTACATGACGAGCTCCCCGTCCACCGTCACCGCACAAACCTCATCCTATGGAATGACTCAAACGCATAACACAAACCTAGCAGTAACAGGGACGTACCAGCATAACGCGTCCTCTCTGGGGGTCCCCATTCAGCCAGACAACAGAGATGGGCAGCAGCCGCAACAGATTCTTTTTCAGCCGCAGCAGCTCATCCAGAGCGGAGCGCCTCTGCAGACCATCCAAACTGGCACCATGACAGCAGGGGGTCAGGTTTTTGCAGCTCCGACGCTCAGCCAGGAAGGCCTTCAGAATCTTCAGATCATGCCAAACACGGGCCCCATCCTGCTGCGTACGGTAGGCGCAAACGGCCAGGTCACCTGGCAAACCATTCAGATCCAAAGTCCGACAGGAACACAGATCACCCTGGCGCCAGTACAGTCTCTACCCCAGCTCGGTCAGACCCAAGGAGGTGCTGCGGGCGGAGGAGTGTCTGTAAACTCAGTGCAGATCCCCAGCATCCAGACCATTAACTTTAACACGCTCGGAGGGTCTGGGCTCCAGCTACAGGGGGTCCCAATCACCATCGCCGGCACAGCAGGTCAGTCTGCTGTTCATGGCATGTCTCATGTGCCTTTTTTTTTTTTTTTATTTTTCCCTTTTTTTTTGGGGAAAAGAAAAAAAAAAGGAAAAAAAAAAAAGGATCATATCCTTTTTTTTTCATTTCCCCAAAAAAAAAGGAAAAAAAAAAAAGGATCATATCCTTTTTTTTTCATTTTCCCAAAAAAAAAAGGAAAAAAAAAAAAGGATCATATCCTTTTTTTTTCATTTTTCCATTGTTTTCTGGGAAAATGAAAACAACCGGATATGATCCTTTTTTTTTTTTCCTTTTTTTTTTGGGAAAATGAAAACAACAGGATATGATCCTTTTTTTTTTTTCCTTTTTTTTTTCTTTTTTCCTTTTTTTTTTCTTTTTTCCTTTTTTTTTTCTTTTTTCCTTTTTTTTTTCTTTTCCCCAAAAAAAAAGGAAAAAAAAAAAAGGATCATATCCTTTTTTTTTCATTTTTCCATTGTTTTCTGGGAAAATGAAAACAACAGGATATGATCCTTTTGTTATTTCACTTTGAGTTGCAGTGACTAAACCTAGCATTCGATTCGACAGTTGTTCTGGGTAAATATTCTAAGAAAGCCACGAAATTTGTTTCACCTCAGGGTTTTTAACAATGACAATTTAGGCCTTCTATCTCGGTGTGTGTTGTTGTTCTTTGTAGGAGCTGTGCTCTACTGGTTTAACCAGCTCAGCTGGTCTTGAGTTACACTAGACTTTACCAGCACTGTTAGTGTTTGTCCTTATGTTAAATCTACAGTTGGGCAAACACCCATTAAGTACCGTTTGGTACACATACTGACGGTGCAGTACAATCTAAAAATCAGGGTTTTTTTCCTGAAACATTTTTTTTCACAGAAAAGAGGAAGGAGAAAGGGTTTTAATATTTTTCAAAATTAAACTACAAACGTTAGAAAAGTTAGGCTTACAAGGTCATACACATTTGTATACACTAGACTTTACCAGCACTGTTAGTGTTTGTCCTTATGTTAAATCTACAGTTGGGCAAACACCCATTAAGTACCGTTTGGTACACATACTGACGGTGCAGTACAATCTAAAAATCAGGTTTTTTCCCAGAAAAGAGGAAGGAGAAAGGGTTTTAATATTTTTCAAAATTAAACTACAAACGTTAGAAAAGTTAGGCTTACAAGGTCATACACATTTGAAACGTTCTTTAATGAGAAGAGCTAAAGGTCAAGAGTATTAACTACCAAAGGCCCGTAATATTTTTGAAGAACAGCATTTCTTTTATCCTGCTTTTGAAACTATTAGTTCTACGCTAGGGGTGCACGATAATTATCGGCTCAATATCAGGAAACTATGACGACGTTCGTATAAGTCTGATATCATAATGAAACACCCTGATAAACTATTGATATGTTGCTCGCAAACCTTTTCCCATTTATTATTACTCATTTGTTTTATTGGTATTTACTTATTTTGAGAGGCTAGCTTTTCATTTGAAAATATCTCCAGGTATGTTATCGGATATTGGTGTCTGCCTTTGGAAGTAGAAAGTTATGGGTTATTGGTATGGACTTAAAAAAAAAAAGGTTATCATGCATCCCTACTATGAAGTATTGCAGTAGGTGGAGACCTGAGTGGTTGACTTACTATCTGATTTTTGGACATTTTAACAGCTTCTTTTACCGTAGGACAGACTGTTGCTGTTTTCAAGGAAATTAATTTTGGTAAAATCATCCAATTAAATATTATTTTCACCATCACTCCAGGTGACCAGGTATTGCAGACAGGTGGAGAAAGCCTGGATGACAGCACTGCTATGGATGATGAGGATATAAGTCCGCAACCTGCAGGACGACGGAACCGGAGGGAAGCCTGCACCTGTCCCTTTTGCAAGGACGGAGAAGGACGGTATGTCCGTAATCATATTAAACTGACTTGCGTGTCTCATACACGGTGTATTACAGTATTCGGCAAAGTCATCGTCTCTGACCCTAACGTTAATTTTCGTGGTATGAAGCAGTGACCCCTCTAAAAAGAAGCAACACATCTGCCACATCACCGGCTGCGGGAAGATTTACGGCAAAACCTCACACTTGAGGGCGCACCTCCGCTGGCATACAGGAGAACGACCGTTCGTCTGCAGCTGGTCCTTTTGCGGCAAACGATTCACGCGCTCAGATGAGCTCCAGCGTCACAAGAGGACACATACAGGTAAATGGAGGAAGTACTTTACGAGAAAGTCAGGATAATGGATCCTTAAAGAGTCCTGCATGTCTGTGCTTACATGGACAGTTCAAAGAAAAGCAGCCGCAGTATTCCGCTTGTGATTCATCATCATTACTGTTTATGAAAATACAGTGCGTTTGTTCGACGGGGTAAACATTTGATGAAGACATTTGTCATGGACGGAGGTTGTAGATTGATACGTAGGTTACATCAAAATGATAAACACAATTCAGTGTCTCAATGGCTTCCAGCGGTTTAAAACTTTCCATATAATAAAGACATCTATATATGTGTATATATGTATATATATATGTACATATGTGTGTATATATCTATATATGTATATACACGTGTATATACATATATAGATATATACACACATATGTACATATATATACATATTTGTGTGTATATACATATATAGATATATACACACAGACATATATATACATATATACACATGTATGTATATATATGTACACCTGTGTATATATGTATATATATATGTACATATGTGTGTATATATCTATATATGTATATACAATCAGCATCTATGATTTTTCTTTTTTTTTTTTTCCAGGTGAGAAAAAGTTTGTTTGCTCAGAGTGCCCCAAGCGCTTTATGCGTAGTGATCACCTCTCGAAGCACATCAAGACGCATCTGAACAAGAAAGCAGCAGCGGCCGCCGCTAACAGCAGCACCGCCGGCGCCGTCTCCCCGGCAGCAGGGACAGAAGCCGGCACCGGGGCAGTGTCGGCCAACGACCAGCACACCATCGTTACCATGGAAACCTTATCTGCCGAGAGCATAGCTCGACTGGCCAGCAGTGGAATCAACATGATGCAGGTGGACCTTCACCAGATCAACGGCAACAGCTACTAACTAAGGCTGGTGGGGGAGCAGGAATCACAGCCTGGGTGGATGCTGCATCATTTCAGACACTTAACAATTTAAAAAAAAAAAAAAAAAAAAAAAAGGACACATTTGACAGCAGATGCACATCCTGTCACAGGCATTAGGAGGAGGTGGTCACTGATGCAACAAAACCCATGCAATTGTATAAGTAAACGAATGCAGAAACACAATTTCTTTGTTGTATATAGGACCTATTGCATTTTAGGGTCAGAGGTTAATTTGAATTAAAATGTTAGACCAAAAGGGTCAACCCAAAAGTAATATATCCCTGGAACAGAAATGGCACTACACTAAAGTTTGTCTCACGTCAACACCTGTTCTAACCCTGTAGTGGGATTACAGTGCTACACAGACCAGCACACGTGGCGCTGTCCTCTCTTCGAAGACACTCTAACACAGCTTGTGTCGGGTACCAGTGCTCACATCAGCAAATGGGATCAGCACGCGCAAAATTCAGAGTTTCAAAGGGAACAGTACGTTAATCCAGAAATCAACAGAGTAAGTTTCAAAGGGAACAGTACGTTAATCCGGAAATCAAACTCCTGGACATTGCTGAACTTTTTACAATTAGGTCAAAAAGCAATAATGAGTTGGAGGTCAATAGCGTGTCACGGCACAGAAAACCCTGGATAACTCTTTATAACCTCTTAAAACTATGTGCAGTTAAATCATTGGAAATTCTGATTTTTTTCTTTCTTTTTTTTGTCATGTAAATATTTTTTTGTTAAAGGCTAATAATAAGTCTTAGCATAGGAGGGATCATGTTATACGGTCGAAAACATTGCCTTACAGTTGTATGAGCCTCATGCACAATCACTTAACCTTTTATTTTATATATATAAATATATCCAAGTGTAGATGAAATGTGTAAACTTGAGCCTTCCTGTCGTAGAATGACGTGCATTCTATGCAGTCCAGATCTTCCCAGTATTTAGTTTTTCCAGTGGTATATTATTAATCATTGGTGACTGTCTCTGCAGTCATGTTGGGGGTCTTTATTTTCTGTTTGTGGGGGGGGGGGGATTGGGGTACGTCATCGTTTAGTAACGTGGTTATAGTGAAACATTTTGTAGCGGAATCTGAACAGCCTACACATAAGCTCAAAACCAAAGGTTCATACTCATTTTGTAAGGAAAACTAAAATCAGTTTTTTGGTCCACCATTAATTTTTCTAATATTTTTTTACTTACATGATATGCATGTTAAAAGTCCTAACTGGCAAGGTGCAGCAAACCTCAGGCACATCCCTGTTGAGGTGGTGATAACAAAGTGGTTACATCAGCTTTTCTGATTTCTTTTTTTTTTTTTTTTCGCTTCCATACTTTGCTTGATTTGAAATAATAATATAACTTGTATAAATTATGTTTAAAAATTAACTCTTCAAAACTTCAGACAAAGTGCTCTTTTTTGCCCTGTTTTAAATAAGGGATTTTATATTTTGTGTATGCAACTACTGCAATTGCCAACAGCTGGATTAAAATTATGAATATATATTTGGTCTCATTCTGTTCAGACTTGTATTGGACAATCAGCTGGTTAAAGAGACTTTATTGGCGCGAGAAAGAAATGACAGAGCTCAATTTTAAAACCGTTACAAATTAAAACTGTCAAGAGTATACGCTGAAGTTCACATCTCCACGTCGTTCTCCTCAGCTTTCAGTTTTTGGCGGAGGCTGTGATGAGAACAAAGGAAGCATGTTGGTTAAAACAGTGGGGTTTTTTTTTTAAAGCCATGTAATGGTCAGTGCAGCGGCCCACCTGCTGAGGTACGAGTGGACGTCAGAGAAGCCATGGTACTGGGCCAGAGGAAACAGGATGCCGGTTGGGCAGTGGCCTTCACGCTGACGGCAGAAGCTGCAGTTGCAAATGCCCCTACAGGGAGGACACTTCCACCCCTGCAAGAGAAAATGACTAAATGGTAAAACCTTGAGTTTCTGTAGTGTTGCAATTTTCAGCCTCCCTTTTCCTGCTATCATGTGTCAGAATGACATAAACTACTAAGATTAGTGAGAGCTGGAGCTAAACAGCTTCAATTTAATATCTTTACAAAAAAATGTAACAGCTGCAAATTATATTGCTTTTTTTTTTCTAGTAAGACGAGACTAACCGGATCGAGCAGCACCTTCCTCACATCCTCTCCATATCTGTTCCTCAGACACGGCCCACAGAACTGACCCTGAATGCCTCGACATTCTTCACTACGGCAGCAAGTCTTTGTGTCAATTGTTTTCTGCCGGCATTGATGACACGTCGAGCCCTGAAAACACAGGAGTGTCAACAATAAAGTTGGTCTCCACACGGTTTTTATATCATTAGTGTTATGTGTGACTTAAGGAAGTGGCACGTGTCAACAATAAAGTTGGTCTCCACACAGTTTTTATATCATTCATCATTGGAGGCAAGTCGTCAAATCACATCTGTGTAAATATAAGTTAAGGCAACCATCAGTTTGACATCAGCATCCATAGTGCATGATGTAGTTGTAGAAAATATTAAAATATTTAAATTTCAATCCACCTCTAAATGTGATTCAAATATAATTATACATTTAAAAATTATATAGACTGGTGGAAAAAAACTTTAAGATAAGAATATCAATTTTCAATCTACATTGGCAGACTATGCCATCTGCTGGTCACACGATGTCACTGTTTTTATTATTGTTCACTCGATTGGATTTTTGTCACCTCACCAAATCACTCTTTTCTGAAAGAGCTTAAAGCCGGTCTTAACTCACCGAGACGCTGTTGTAGACTTTCTCAGTCATATTTTCTGCAACCAGCTCAAGCTCTTCCTCTGTGATGTCCTCCACTGGGCGGACAACGTGAGGTTTGCTCTTCGCGGGTCGTGGGGTTCCACGGCGCTGTGGAGCTCGACGTACCTGACAAAAATAAGAGAACTATATTACCAACAACTAAGGGCTTCTCACTCCTGTTGAACCAGGTTTTACTGATTTTTTTTGGTGAATTAACTGATTTATCTGACCTCCAGCAACTCCTCCTCCAAGCTGAGCTCAACTTCTTCTTTAGTGCTTGAAGAATCCTCGCTTCCTCCCATGGAGCGGGTGTGTCTACGGGAAGCCCGGTCTGGATTCCTCCTTGATTGGAATCCATCTGCACCGGAGCGGGGTTGACGCTGCAGGGTACAGTAAATAAGGTAACGTCACATGGGGACACTTAAGAGCAATTTTTTGTAATATAGAACACCTTCTGTTGCCTTGTGAAAAATAATACATCACTTTTGTCTTTTGCTTTTCTGCCTGGTTTTTCAGGAACCCTTCACGTCCTGGCATTTTTTCCAGATCTGCCATAAGCTGAGCAAGCTGTTCAAAAAACAAAAACAAAAAATTCAAAGTGCATTTTCACGAGTGTCACATTTTTGTAGTGTGGCTCTGTGATTGAGTTTTTACCATTGCTTTGTTGGCCTTAATGTTTTGCGCCCTCTTTTCCAAGAAAGATCCCTGCTTTGAATCAGATCCTGACTCCAAACAAGGGGATGTTGGCTCATCTTTAAATTGAACATGTCTCTCCCTTCTCGTCTCCACACTCTCTCCTGTTTTCTTTTTCCCCCTGTTTTCCACCTCTATATCATCATCATCATCATCATCATCACTGTCCTCCTTCTCCTCACCGGAGTGTTGAGTTTTGGAGCGGAGTGCCACCCTTAGCCTGAAGGGCTTCTGTCTGGTGGAAAGTTTTGCAGTAGGCTCCTCCATCTTGGGTGAAAGGTCAGACTCAGACTCCTCTTCAAAACGTATATCCTGTGATAACGGACAAAGTTATTTTTCTTACAGCAGGTCCGATTTGACACAAAATATAAATATGCCCTGGCTGTTTTTGTTGCTTTACATAGAAACAGTTTCATTCCACATGTTAAAGTCATAGAAACAGTTTCATTCCACATGTTAGTTAAAGTCCTTTTCCTTGAACTAAAGAACTAATTTGAATTCATCCAACGCACCTTAAGCTCGCTGTCAGAGAAGCCGTAAAATGTTTGCTCGTTTTCCGAGTCGTCCGCAAAAATCCCCGCTAAAACAGAGGCCTTAATAATGACACGTGGATAGAATTGTTACTACTAATGACATATTTAATTATATGGCATTTAATATTGATGAAAAGTCAACAATACTAGTCAAATTTACCATTACTTTCTGCCCAACGTTGTCCAAAAACCAGTGTTCTGGAAACTTCCCTTTGACGTCTGAAACCGCCCACACGTCGGTACCGTCCAATTAATGTGATTGTCAATCGATCAGTGCGCTTCATTTAATCGCCAAGACAGCGCGGATTGGTCAAAGTTTAACGGTCCTTTATAATTAGAATTTAACCAAAAACATGGAGTTTGTAAAATGCAAACCTGGTACAATTCTTTATTTTAATTATTATTTTAAGTACATTTAGTGATACATTTTAATGCAAAACGCCTGCATGCTACATGTAATGCAAATTTTAAGTGCAATGAAATTAGTTTCAATGGTGGAAATAACATATGAAATAATTTATTAATGCTGTTTACATCAGTCTGCCAACGGTAAATACAATTTAATGTACGTTTCCTTACACGCTAAAACAAACATGTTGAGGTAATACATAAATAAATAAATAAATAATTGTGAAGTTTAACAGCATCACTTAATGTTACATTTATTTTTAAATATAAGACCATAATTAATATCAGGAGATCAACAAAATAAGAGCATTTTATGGAATAACAAATATATCGGTGCGATTTCATTTTTGTTCAACTATCTTTGTAATTGATTTATATATTAATATGAGATAAATTATTGGTAATTGAATGAACACAGGATAATTCTAGAGAATTATTGTATAACTTTATATTGAACAGGAAGCAAAAACCCAAATACACTAATATTATGAACTCAGGGATTAAAACAAGTAGTTATTTCTTTCCTCTCTTCTTCAGATGTGTAAAATAAATCATTGCATGTTTTATTTTATTTTTTAATGTTTTTGTTTTCACTGGTAACATTTTTTGTTGTCTGTTAAAATAAAACAAATTAGGAGGAAAAACTAAACAAACTGCTGCATTTTGTTTATACTTCATACAGTTAATGTTAATCTTTGTATTCTGGGATTTTTTCAAAAATATTCGATGCTTTCGATTTTTAAAAATATTATCATATATTATAACTGGCTTCTGGTGGTAAAAGACAGAGCCAGCTGCATACAAACCCCTTCTCTGGGTGCATGTAATAATTCCAAAAAAGGGGGAGAACAGTAATTCTGATAAGAGTGTTTCCTTCTCACAGGCTGTCGTCCTACATCAGAGCACATGCAGGTGTGTTGGCAGTGGGAGTGATGCTGGGAAACGTGGGAAACTCCTATCACATTCCCAGGATACTCCCTTTCTGGTTTGCTCTCAGAAGGACAATGATTCTGCTACAGTGGTGGGTGATTTTTACTGCTGGTGAGTTTGGTCCATTTCATCATCATTTTTAAATTATATTTTAGTCGTTTTAACTGCATCAGCGATTACATTTTCTCATTTAATTACTACTGTGCTGCTAATGTCTCGGTCAGAGCAATTTTGTTGTGGACAATACTCATAAAAATGTGTAACTTTTTTAATAATATGTTAAGAAACAGAAAAGGATGGATGCCTCCGGTCCTGCCACATAAACACTTTTTTTTTCTTCCAGATTTCTTTCTTTTATGCTTGTCCAGCCAGCTTCTTCATAAGAAGCGACATTGTGTATTTCACATGGACAGAGTGACAACGAATTCACTGAAAAACCAAAAATACCAAGCGGCTGGAAGTGTGAATGGCTCAGTGCAGGTCTGTGAGAACACCAGCTGCTGTGTAGGTTATTTTCAGGTTCTTAATAGCCAGCCAGTGGTCCATTTTCTGGGTAAAAAAAACGTTTTTATTACTTAAAAAGAGTATATTTAAATTGGCTTAGGGACTCACCTTTGTTTCTTTTTTCTTTTTTGCAGCTTGCGCTGTAGCAGAGACGTCTTGTCCAGATGCCACCTGCAGGACACACACGTTGTTGAGGTGGAACTACACTAAATGTGTGTGTAACACAGATCTGTGCAACGGCAACGTCACCTGGATGCCAGACTCGGAACCGCCCCGACAAACCCACTCACACTTCACAGGTATGACTGGACTAAGATCACCATTAGCCTAATCTAATGTGACCACCACACAGTGATAAAATCATTTAAATTATATTGTTTCCTGCAAATCACTTCATTGAAAATCAAGACTTTAAAAAAAATATATTATTAAAAATTATTATTATTATTTAGGCTTTGTCCCTTTTTTTTTTTTTTCAGGGGTTGCCACAGCGAATCACTGATTTCCATCTCTCCCTGTTCTCTTCATCTTCTACTCTGACTCCAACTATCTGCATGTCCTCCATCACTGCATCCATATATCTCCTCTTTGGTCTTCCTCTCTTTCTCCTACCTGGTGGCTCCATCTCTAACATTCTTCTACCA